ATGCTTACAATCTCATCATTCTGGATCCAGAGACAGGTGGATCCTGGTTTGCTGCCTATTGAGCACATTCCAGGTCAACGAGAGACACTGTCTCCAAACCCAAGGGGAAGGAACCTGAGGAATAACACCCAGGGTTGACCTCTGGCCTCCATATGCACTAGTATATATACCCACACACATGTGCATCCCCCCAAAATACACTCACACATTAAAAAAAAATGATAGAGGAGGTAGGGAAAGATGACTGATCTCTCACCATCAGCGTACAAGGATAAGAGAGAGTGGAAATTCTATTGCTTCTCAATGAAATCAAAACAGCAGAGGGACAGTCCCTTAGCAACGTGCCCTCCTCTACCACTACTGGCAGGATGGCCTTCCAGTTCTAGATGAGACAGGAATGAGCTGGTGGTCATCCTAGTGTGTTTTCATGATGGTCCTGGAGACATGTGGCTTCCAAGTAATCTGTACTGAGACATTACCTCGTATCTATCCAGCTGACTGACAGTTGTAGCTGGAAGTTTTCTCTGGTCCACCTGGCCCGGTGGCCCCACAGCCACTTATAAAATAACCATTCAGAGACTTATAGAAGAAGCAAGGTGTGAAAATACCAGTAAGCCATGGCCACATGGCAACTCATGGATAAGTAGAAATGGGTTAAGTTATAAGAGCTAGCTATTGAGAAGCCTGCGCCGTAGGCCAAGAGGAGAGAGATGGCTCAGCAGTTACGAGCACTGTCTGATGTTCCAGAGGAACGGGGTTCAATTCCCAAGTCATCTGGAGTCCGATCATGTCAGGATAAAAATAAATAAATAGGAAGAAGGGACCTGGTGACCCTTCTCTCCTCTCCTTTCTCCTTTCACCATCTCTCTTGGGTTTTCCCTCCTGGCTCTATCCTGCCCTGCCATAGGCCAATACAGCTTTATATATCAACCAATCAGGCAACACATATTCACAGAGTACAGAAAGATATCCCACAGCAGACAGTTAGCAATCAGTTCTAGGGCTTGAACTGAGGTGACCCAACCGTGAAGGCTCTCTTCCAAAGTTTCCCCATCACTGGAAGAATTTAGGGTCTATGTTGTAAAGCCTAATTAACATTAACACAGTCTTTCTGCTCATATTGTGGTGGTGGGTTCCAAGAGTTCCCCTGCCCACCTCTGCGTACATGCTCAGCACCCAGCATTATCATTCAGAGAACATTGTATTGCCTTTCTCATCTCCTACAGCAATCAGTAGCTGGACTCAAAGTCTGGGGTGAAGTGGAATGGATTGCTGAATGCTAGGAAATGGTCCCTGGAAGCTACACACAGGAACTGGGCGAGAAGGAGCAGGACTTGGAAAGGTAAGGTGACTGAAGTGAAGGTTAACTTGCCCAATGCTGACCCTTCCAATCTAGTCCTGCAAAAAAAGAGATGGACCTCCATAAGGCTCCATGGAAACAAGCTAGTTTTCTTGCTTATGTCTAGTGGGCATAAAGCAAGGCTTGGATCAGTTACTAAGTCACTGAAAGTGGGAAGAGGGAAGAGCTGCTGTTTCCTCCACCAATGCTGTGGCGTTGCAACTCTTCCATTCTCTCTCCCCACCAATGCTGCTGCTGCTGCGATGGCAAACAGGACCAGTCACCTTTTCATGACAGAGAAAAGGCTGGTGCTGTCAGGTCGGGGATGGAACATAAAGATATGTCACACCATCTTGCTGTGTGCCTTGGTCTCAGTTCATCCACAGGGAGGAGATGGCACTTCCCTCTGGTCACCTGTCCTCCTAGGTCTGACTGGTGGTTCTTCTAGCCCTCCAAGAACTGCTCCAGAATTAATGAGCACATCTCCTATTGTTCCAGGATCTGGGTACTCTCTGCAATGCCCACTGGACAGAGCATGAGTACTCCTTGCCCCTGCATCCTGGCTACACAATAAGATCCTTACAGATAAGATCATGATTCTAAAAGAAGATGCAGCCAGTGACTTACTATAAGAATTAGTCAGCACCTGATTCCTCCATGGCTACTACTCTGCTGTAAATCTGCAGATATTTACACCGAGGAAAGCCTGCCTGCCCTTCAGGCAATGGGAGCCGGGGCACACCGTACACTTCAGCCATCCTGAGCAGCAGTGCGGACTTGAGTCTCTGTTGTGTTTGACTTAGCCAGGAGGCTCTGGATGAGAACTAGTCACATTGTGCCTGTGGGCTGCACAGTACCTCTGGTTGCAACCATGTGCCCAGTCTCTGACAATGGCATCTGCATTTGTTCCTAATTTGCTCTACAGTTCCCTGAGGGAGCTGGAGCCCTGCCCTGAACCATAGCTTGCTTGGTTGGGCCCTGACAACCTGCCCATTGCCATCTGCTGGCTAAAATCCTCTTTAAACCTGAATGGGGCGCCCGTGGAATCAGGAGGCTGCCACCTGGCCCGGAGCACAGCTGCTGCCTAGATGTTGCTGTGGGGCCTCCATTTGCCTGTCTGGACCAATCAGGTCAGATGGGTGGAAGGGACAGGACCTTGGCCTCAGCAGGAACCCTACAGCCAGGTGAGCCCCTCCATTCTAGCTGCATGTATTGATAGTCTATGAGTTTACTTTTCTTGTGGAAATTCTCCCCCAGGCTGCAGTATCTGCACAGACAGTTCCTGTCACCAAGACCCAGTCTCTAGACTCCCTACCAACACTGGCTTGGTTGTTCATGCCACAATAAAAATGTGGCTCTGGAACTCAAGCACTGTTTAAGGACACAGATGGCCTCATTTTACATCTGACAAAAGGCAAAAGCAAACTAACAACAGACTCTAACTCTAACATAGCTTTGAAGGCCAAGTCTCTAAAATATTCAAAGACAATCACGAACTTGACTACAGATACTAGTGTATTTTACTGTGATGCAAGGGTGGGACATCTAAGTGTGAGCAACCCAAAGACCTGCACATGCTACTTTGCAGCAGTCCACTGCACTTCCCACACTCATATTGGCCCAGCCCGTCTGTCATCAATGAGATGACCAACCACTGTGCTGCTTCGTGTAGGGTTAAGGGACACGCCCAAGAGTTGTGGCATGAATGAACAAATGACCAAATGAAACAGTAAGGTCAGTGATGCATAAACATGGTCATTAAAACTTGCTCAGAGATTCTAAAACTCAGGAGGAGGGAGAATGGGTGCAGAGTGTCCATTTGTCAAGGTGGAGGGCTGCAGATTGGTCACTCAGCAACTCGAATTTACTCAACATACTGGACTACACATTTAGAAACAGTTGTGGGGGCTGGAGAGATGGCTCAGAGGTTAAGAGCACTGACTGCTCTTCCAGAGGTCCTGAGTTCAATTCCCAGCAACCACATGGTGGCTCACAACCATCTATAATGAGATCTGGTACCCTCTTCTGGCCTGCAGTCATACATGCTGTATACATAATAAATAAATAAATAAATCTTTAAAAAAATGTTGACTTAAAAAAAAAGAAAGAAACAGTTGTGTTTCCTGAGGACCAGGACTTGGCCTTGTTCACTGTGTTGCCCTGGGCACTAGGCTCTAAACCAAGTATTTGATAATGCACTGGAACACTGGAACACTGAATGCTGAATGAATTTTGCTCAGTTGTAAGCTCATGACCGATAGTCTGTGGCACAGAGTTGCTTACTTAACTGTCCCTCTATTTTGGGATATTATAAACTGTACTTGTAATTGAATGGTATAATTAATCCTCTTAGGTATCTCTTAGCTGCTTCTTCTGAGTTATATCATGGTGGCAGCTTTTAGCCACACCTCCTTCCTTTTCCCCTTCCTCTTATAGCTGGCATCTCAGGTACGCTTGAAAGGCATGCCTTTCCTTGTCGGATCGTAGAGAGGCTCAACTTCAAACCACAAATGCTGCCATTTCTGTCTGCCCTTCCCACTGTGGTGTCCTCTCAAAGCAGGGTGTTCCTCCTGCAGCTGTTTCCTCTTCCAGAGCACCGCACTGTTATTTTTACCCGTCTCAATCCCAGCAATCTCCAAGTCTTACCAACACCCCTCAACTTCACCATGTACTGCTCTAGTCAGTCTGCAGGACCTCTAACCACAGCTGACATTTCCCAGCATCCCCTGTGCTGTTCATATTACATAGTCCCTCATCACTCTGTAGTGTCTGCCATTCTCTGAGGCACAACCCAGCTTAGCCACAGCTTCCCAGAGCACAGAAATTAATTTAATTTCATTTTGTTTCAAAGTCCTATATCATCCTGGCCACAAAATTATATGTATTTATTTTTTATATTATATATATTACATATATATATATGTATATATAAAATCAATTTACTACCTCCTCAAAGAGTTAAAATAGCCGGTTCATAAACTATTTTAATCATCCCCTACATACTTTTTGCATATTATCTGCATATACTCTTTCACATGTTTCTTAACTTTCTATGTGAAACTCTTGATCAGTCATCATTTAACAGCATCTTTACCATTTTGTTATTTGGTTTTGATTTTGGGTTGTCTTATTATTACATTAAATACACATGTTTTTTTTAAAGAAGCAATTCCTTCAGCAATTATTGTAAAATCTCAAGGTAGAATCCTATTTATATTGTTTTTATACTTTGATCCAAGGAGGAGGAGGAGCACTAGGAAATTCACAAAGGAACCTTTCGTTTTTCCAAACAGTTCTGTGAGTGGAAACTTTATTACAAAACAGACCAAGAGGGCCACTGGGAAAGCAGAAGAGAACCACCACAGACATAAAAAGATGCCGCATGTGACCTGAGGAAGGTCGCAGAGGACACAGAAATGATGTGGGAATGATTCAGGAAGACGCACTGGCTGTTCTCGGCTGACTGCTCCTGCGGAGACAGCAGAGGATCGTGCAGGGAACGGTCTTCAGAGAACAACGAAGCCGACTCGGTTAGCCACTCCATTTTGCTTTTTAACTGCAATCTCTGCCTCCTCACCTTCAGGTCCTTTTCTTAACTTCCTCCATGGTTTTGGTCTCAGGATCCCCCCTACACCAACACCTCCAGAGAGCGCCCACTCACCTTCTTCCTCGAAAAGAAGACCCATGTGAGCATGCGCTTCTGCTTCTTTCTTCCCACCGTCAGCTTTGACCCGCTGAGCAATATTAAAACACCGTCCATAGAAGTGATTTCTCACCCACTTGTCCTCAGAATTATCAAAGTAACAGGCCAGAGCGTACAAGTTGTTATACACTTCTTCATAGTATCCTTTACAAAGAGGAAAAAACATACTGTGCATCAGAAGCTCAGCTTAGGACACACATGATACTGCAAATCACTGCTGTATTTGTCTTTAAGACATGGTCAACTGTCTTGAAAATTAAATCTAATACAAACATCATTTATCTCAATTATTAAAATAATCACATTAGTCAAGGGGATGTGTATATGAGACAAGCAGCAGGTGTCTTTCCAAAAATGCTGAAACCCTAGAAACTGAGACATATTTGGTTGAAATAGGACTTATTTATATAACAGAACTGGACAGTATCTGTTAGGAATGTGTTCCTCTTGGAAGAGGATAGTGGTGTCAGTGGTCTCATACAGATAAATGGGGAGATCAAAGGGTAGGGAAGGGAAGGGGAGAGACTATTCCATATCCCAGTGATGGGTCTAAAGGCATGCATCACTAAGCCTGGTGAAATCAATGTTTCTAAACATAGGCAATGTTTCTAAACATAGGCAAAATAAAAGCAAACACAAAAGGGAAAAAGGAAATGGAAAGCCCAAAATATTTTTACCCCAAAGGGGATAATGCTGCTGATTTGTACAAGAGACTCAGGTGAGGATGGCAGGTGGTGATATATTATGTACCCTAATAAAATCTGCCTGCAGATCAGAGGACAGAGCCAGCCACTAGATTAGACATAGAGGTCAGGCAGTGGTGGCACACATCTTTAATCCTAGCACTCGGGAGGGAGAGATCCGTCTGGATCTCTATGAGTTCAAGGCCACCCTGAACTACACAAGATTGACTCAGTCTTTGAGAGAAACAGAGCCAGGCAGTGGTGGCACACACCTTCATTCCCAGTATTTGGTAGTCACACACCTTTAATCCCAGCACTTGAGATCTCATGCCTTTGCTTGGGAAGTACACACGCCTTTAACCCCAGGAAGTGATGGTTGGGTGACAACAGGTATATAAGGCATGAGGAGACAGGAACTAAAGGCTTTTCAGACTGAGGCATCCTAGAAGTGAGACATGGCTATGGCTTGTTTCCTTGTCTATCGGATCTTTCAGCATTTACACCAATATCCATCCGGCCTTGGATTTTTTTTTTTTTTATTGAAAGACCATTTTAGCAATTCATGTTATAATGATACACATGCTTCTCCCATTTTCTCCCAATGTTTCTAGAAATATAAGTTTGCAACAGCGCTAAAAAGTAGACTTCTATACTTCTGTTTTGGGGTATTTTTCTTTATTGAAAATGTATACACACTAGCCATTCCTTTTACTCAAATTTCTGGTAATTTGTTACATACATTTTTGTATTTTTCTTTTTCCTAAAGTGATATCTGTATTTATAAGTGTGCGGCCGTGTGTGTGTGTGTGTGTGTGTGTGTGTGTGTGTGTGTGTGTGTGATCTGTTTCATGAATGCTGCTGCAATAGTGAACTTGAGCAAAGATTTGTGTGTTAACAAACTGTGCCTTGATTCTGTAACTCTAATGGCCCACACTAGCCTCAAACATGTGACAATCTCCCTGCCTCTGTGTAACCAAGAACTGACACCATAGGAGCGAGCCAGCCACTGCAGCCAGGACTAAATTACCTTTAAACATCAGTCACTGTGCACAGAGTGCTCCAGCACCAGCTGCTCATCACCACAGGAGAGCCAGCTCCTAAAATGACCCAAGTCACTGCAATATTTCAAAAGCATTTCTTTGTGTGTATGAGAATAGAGAGTGGGGTGTGTATGTGTGTGTGTGTGTGTGTGTGTGTGTGTGTGTGTGTGTGTGTGTGTGAGAGAGAGAGAGAGA